TGATAAGAATTCTTACCAAAAGGCAAAGGCTGGGTACAATGGCTCACACCTGTAATTCCAGCACTTTGGGAGAAAAAATTAATGCTTCTACAGAGTATACTGATACTAGGACTTTAAAATAGTGGGTGGGGGGAACCTCCTTTTTTCTTTTCTTTTTTTTTTTTAATTTGGAGATGGGGTCTCGCTTTGTTGCCCAGGTTGGGCTCCCAACTCCTGGGCTCAAGCCATCTTCCTCTCTCAGCTTCATGAGCAGGTGGGGCCTTCAGGCTTGTACTAGCATACCTGGTTTTTTATTTAGATTAGGTAATTCGAACCCCTTAAATGGGACTTGTGCACTGAAACACAGGACTTACAACTTGTGAAAACTCTAACCAAGCAAACTAGGGTTTGGCTCTTCACTGATCTTCTCCACTGAGGATCATAATCAAAGGGCATTTCTTTCTTAGGAGACTTACTCAAATGCCTCTATCTGACAGGCAGAAATCCTGTGATTCTTCCTTTCAGTATCTTTCAAACCACTCCCCTCCTTCATTTCTAGTATCCCAAGTTGATAGAGATTACTTGACACCATCCAGGCTTGGGATCCCAGACTTGCCCCCTTGCAATTCTTTACACACAGACAACGCTCTTCATCGCTAAAAACCTTCCGAAGCTTCTTAAGGACCAGATCAAACTCTTAACTAGGCTTTTCTCACCTCGCTCCAACTCTACCTTATTTTCCACTTTGTCAGTCTAGATTCTTATTCCAGCCTTCCTATCTCAAACACAACAAGCACAACTTCTGTCTCCCTTGAAATGTGCTCCTTCTCTTAACCTACACGTCTTGTTCTCCTTACAAGGTTCAGTTCAAGTCACAACTCTGCACACACCTGACTGATGTCAACGCTTGCCAGTCTCATCTTTCCTGAATGACTCTAGCAGTTACAGTGTGCATACCATCAAATACTCCTAAGAATCACTACTACAAATCACTACTAAGAATGACAGTTGTGTGATCTTGGATAGATCATTTAACTCTATGGGCCACCATTTCCTCATCTGTAAAATAGTAAATCTAAGTTAAGAAATTTTAAAAGATCGTTCCCTTTTCTAAAAAAATTTTTATATACCATCTTGTACAGTTTCACATATCAATCTCAGTTCTCTTGAGACTTTGGAGCTTCTGAAGGCACTAAGAACATCTTATATTTCTCTCCCAACTCTCAAAGCAACTTATTCCAGTATCTGGCTCAAGAGATGCTTAGTGAGTGTGACACTGAAATAGGCCAGGCAGTGCTACCAAGACAGAGGATGGTTTGAAGATCTCAATGTGAACTCAAGACCTGTTTTTAAAGTAGTTTAAGAAACTAGTAAAGGTAGTTAGTGCCAGAGAAGGTAGAATACAACTAGATGACCCAGGGCTGGCTCTCCACTAGAGTTGAAGAAAGCAAGAAGCTGGCTCTAGAACGGAATGAGCACAGATTTGAGAGCTCAAAACGGTCTCTTAATTCCTATGCAACACAATTTGAAGTAAGTATACATAAGCCCCTAAATGGCAGCTGCAGCTCCTAGGTAAGCTCATCCAGTTTTATGTGCTCTAGTGTAGATTATTTAGGGGTCTTGTCAGTGGAGAACCTCCGGGACTGTCTCAAGTCTGCCCTACAATGGTGGGAGGAATTCTGATTTATTCCAACCACACCAGGCCTGAAACCTACAGAGGAAGGGCAATTCCTTCTATTTTACATCTCAGTGTCCTCTCCCTCCCCCAGCCAAGAAAAACACAAGCTTTTGTAAGAGAGAGAAACAAAGGCAGACATATTGAACCATTCAACTCTATTTTAGGAAAATGCTTTTATTTTTTCCTCTTTTTCTCAGGACAGTAACAGGTCAATGTGTAGACAGAAAGTAGGGAAGGGGTGTGCTGGAGGAAAGGAGTCACCATTTTTAACTAAAAGTTAACCAGGAACTCCAAGACAGGAGAAGATGTGATCCTTCTGAACTATAGTCAGAGGGTGAAGGCTAAGTGCCTTTCTATTTCATTATCTTGAAATGAAACTTATTCAATATCCATATGCACATCTCCTTTATCAAGAGAGGCATGCATTGGCCGGGCGCGGTGGCTCAACCCTGTAATCCCAGCACTTTGGGAGGCCGAGGCGGGTGGATCACGAGGT